CTTTTTTCTACCTTTGTGTCTGTCTCTTTAACATCTTTGAAACACTCTTCTGTCCCCCCTGTGGCGGACTGCTACGCTAGTAAAGACTGACCGACTCAGAAATCTCTATGGCAGATTCTCCAACATCTAGCTAGACTCCCAGAACCAGCTAAGCTATAGCCCATCTATAAAGGAAACAGACGTGTAGCACGGAGCACGTTTATTCAGTATGTATATTGTGGATAAGTGTACACACAGGGAGCTTAATCGGGATCAGGATGGCTGATTAGGTTAAACAAACAGAGGTTAATGATTGGTCACTGTTTGTACGGTCGCACCTCCAAATCCTGGCGTGCAGGCATGCGATGACGTGTCTCACACACCCCTCTCGAATATTTTTCACTTTGAAGTCACCTAAAGGGGTAATGAAACTATCAAATGCCTGTCATTTGATATAAATAAATTAAATGCATAAACCCTGGCCTTTATTATCCGAATTTGTCAAAATCAGACCTTGTCGAAAACACTTTTGTTTCATATATATATGTATATGTATATGTATTAATGAATAATTATTTTACTTTGGTAACATTTCAAGTTCGAGTGTGTAGAAAGCGACGACAGTGAAGTACTAACAGAGAGAGTTTCTTTAATACAGTATTCAATTAATTAATTACAAAAGAAAGAGGACATAATACCTGGATTAATAAAATGATAAATTTTGGGTTCAAGTTGTGAAATGTATGTATTTAAACGGAAACTTTCGTCACTTCTTGAATAACTGCTGTATGTCATATTCCCTCACTTTCACAGTACTCACCTTACCCTTATCTCTACCTCTATGTCTGTCTCCTTTACATCTACGAATCATTTTCCCATTCACCCTCTCCACCTTTTGTAACATTGTCTGTTCCTCCCCTCTATGAAGCCCGAAGTCAACTAAAGGGCTAATGATAACTATCGTAAAGACTACCATTTAATATTAATAAATTCAAACAACAGAGAATATATACCATAAAATAGAGTTTATACTGTAATTGAACAGCACAAATAAGCCAACACACTTTGGTAAAACTGCTCCCCAAATTACCATAACAGCATTATTATTATATCAAATAGCAGGCGCTTTGATTGTTCTCATTAGCCCTTTTGGTTGACTTCAGTCTTCACAGAGGGGAAGGGACAGCAAAGTGTAAAAAATTCAAAAGAGGGGGGGGGGACAGAAGAGTGTATCAAAGACGAAGGTAGATAAGGTGGAAAAAAGGTGGGATGAGTACTGTGAAAGTAGTCGAATATGACATACAGTGGGGTCATGGTAGTTTGAAGTCAACTGCCAGTCAATAGACTTTTTTGCCGTATGAGTATACGTTGCCCAGGGTGCACCACGTGGAGGTAAGTCTATCGCACACCCCACCATAACAGCATTGAGGAGGTAGAACACCAAGTGCATAGCGTTTATTACAAATATGGCCAAACTGCTACAAAAGCTTAGTCCATAATCACAATTATATTGCTACGCCACACTCGCAGTGACAATAGGTTGCTAGGTGCCTGAGATGGCTCCTTATGATACACAATCTACACCACAGTTGCACTCCCCCCATAGTGTTCCAGCGGACAAGAAATCATTCTGATCAGCCTTGATAGCACTCTACACACCATAATACTTCACTTCCTGAGCGATAACAAGTTGCTCATTAAGAAGAAGAAGAAGAGAAAATGACTCTTCAACCTCTCGGAGTGCTAGAAATGATAGATTGAAAAACACAAGTCGTAGGAGTGGCGAGTTTAACGGTATCTCATTGCAAGTATTGAGGTAGAAGAGTGAAAAAGTGCCCCAGTGTCTTTCGCGAAGGAGTGAATAAGTGCCTCTGGTTGAAGTTCAGCAGTTCCGCAAAAGGGTGCAGGTTTTGAGTGAATCTTTTATAATAATTCACCACCCCGTATAGATAATAGGCCATGATACATGATAGATCGAATCTTCCCGGGAAAAGGGGTTGCCTCGCCAGACAATCGTGCCGGTTTCGCAGGCTAAACTCTCAGTATTCTCTAGAGCATTCTCGTCTAGCGATAATCTCGAATAGTATTCAGGGCTTGCCATTTAGCTGATGTGAGAAACACTGAATACGAGGAATGGGTTAGATGCCTGGGATAGTTTATTTTTTGATTGAGGACACGATAATCACCACATAGTCCCCTGTCAAAACTTTTCTTCGTGACCATGAACAATCTGATGGTCAGTGGACTTCTAAAAAGCACCGATAGAAAATCCTCATTAGTAAGCTGTAATTTGTTAGAATAATGGCGGGGTGCTCTATCTAATACGCACAGTCCATTAGCAAGAATGTTGCATCCCACTTCGTGCACGGATTCCACAGCCTCGAATTGGACTGGAAACCAGACGGAAACTCAGAGACGGGACTAAATGTAGCACTGGGAACATGGAAGTGGGTATGGTGTAGTCATTTAAGCTAGTCCTTCTAGTTAGTAAGTGAAAGTTAGTGAGGAAGTCAACACCAATAATAGGCCTTGAAATATCAGGAGTGTGGAAAATAAAAATGGGAATTCAAGCCGAAGTTATAAATCTAATTCAAGGTGTTTTCGGTCAAAAGTGTTTGACTTCAAAACCAATGTCAACGAGAAGTCAAAGCTTAGAATTTCTGTCAGTTACCTAGAGGGAGCGAATAGTGAAATACCATGACCAGACGACGTCCGTCCAGCTTAGAATTGTATTTTTTCTCTGAGGGATATCTATAACCTAGTTTGTATTCGTTTGCATCATCACCAAATGTTCTTTGGCAGGGGGGAATTTGATTTCGGTGTTTAGACTAAATATTGGAGTATCTAGGGGAAGTAGAACGTTGGCTGCCACCAAGAGATGGGGAGGTTCTACTTTCTCGAGCGGCTTACCGAGTAAGCGCCCGAGCGCAAAGTTCTTGGATTTGGTCGGCTGTTGATTAGGCACGGCGCCGTATTTACAGGAAGGGAACTCATCTACAGCTGTCTTAGAATTAATTTGTCTACCTCGGTTGCACTGGTAAGGGATCGGGTGTGCCGGAGGAACTGAGTAGGAGAGCGAACACCTAGTTCAAGTTTTTGGTCGCGATCTGATAAAAGCTCTTTTGAGAGGGTCACAATAGATGTCTTATAGTGCCTTGTCAACGCTGGTAACTAGGCAAGTTGATTTCTTGTTGAAACTGGGCTAGGTGTTTCATGAGATATCTTGTAGTTGTCAGAAAAGACAAGAGGAACGATTGTGGATGGGTCACATGTGCTGACCAGTTATTGGTTTTTGCTTTACTGATCTATCCTCAGTATCTGGTGTCAGCTACCTTTCACTTGACTGACACCTCTACGATCCTTCTAACGCAACCATTCATAGAACACTAAGCTGAAGCCCTTCTAAAACAAATCTAACGCCGAAACAAGCCGAGATTTTAATCCCAAATGAACATGAATGGTCGCAATCGTTAACTAATCAATAATATATTAGTAGTTAAGCATCCAAACTCTAAATACCCATTATTTTTCTCATTTATACATCGGAACTCCAATCCCAAAAACAACAAAAAAACAAGACGCCTCAAATACATAGGGCTGCATTCATTCATACGCCAAAAGGGGGACATTTAGAACGGTTTAGCAATATTTCACCATTCAACGTCCAATGTGTGTGTGTGTTCGCGTGGAAGGAGGTACATTATGGATTTGAATAGTGGTGGGGATTTGGGAGGGTTTAGAAGTAGTAATAAGCCTAGTAACTACTACTACTGCTACGGAGGATTGTTCATATATATAGATAGATATATACAGACTCGAACATTGCAAACATTTGCTGCGACGAAACGTGAGGGAGAATAATGAGCAATTTAGGAATATACATAGTGCTTCTTGCAAAGCACTGCGAACTGCTCCTCATTAAAACGACACTCTAAAATGAGAAATAAAAAAAGCTCACGTTTAAGGCTCCTCCTCCTCAGGACAGTAGAGCAAATAAGAAGGCAAATAAAAGCACACTCACCAGCCAACTTAGCACAGTAATAATGATAAAAGAGGTTACAACCCCGCTTTGTACAACTCATGATGGCCCCAATCTTCTTACAGTGCGAACAAGTCTAAAAAAGAGAGATTTGTTTTTTCTAAATAAAGGATTAAGTAGAACGGTCGTTTCAAAACAAAATCATTTTTTTCACAGATACAGAAATTCTATTCCTCACATTAATCAAACATCTGCTATATGTGAAAAGCTTGCGTAAAGAAATTGTAGGCATACTTTCGCCGTACCACTAGCTCTTTGGAAAATGAAAGTGAGATGAGAAGCCACCGAAGACAAAGATGATCTGCCAACTGACAGACCCATTAATCCGGTAGATGAGCACTGAATCAATTAAGGATGCTTGTAAAGTGACAAGGTTAGGCGACCAGATTATCCATGTGAATAAGATTATGAAAAAAGGACAATCCGAGATGATCGTCAAATCGAAAAAGCAGGGTTCGTCTGCTTCCAAAATGACCAACTTTACTGCTTAAGAATGGAACTTTTAACCGTAATCCTTCTACAAACTGAATGCAGTGGAGAGCGAAAATTTAAGGCTCACCGTTTCAAGGGCCATCATAACAGCCTCATCCAAACCTCCGATAGTCCCATCTCCCTTAATATGAGTTCCGGGAGCCCAAAGAACACACTCCAAATGACACCAAACCTCTCCATCCGAACCAACTCGATTTGATGTCATATTGGCGTAGTTCTCCATGATTTTGACGGCGTCCACAAGGCTGCTATTTCTCCTTCCTCGGCTCGCTTTACTACTTGTTACCACCTTGGCCGGCGAGGGAGTGATATCCGGGAGATTCTTTATGGAAACACTTCCATTGCCGACAACACCTGGCGGAATGGGTTTAATAACAAGTCGAAGAGAAGGTCCATGCTTGGACATCACCTCACCACCCACAAAATAAGGTCCATAGAGGGGACTCAACCGATCAAAAGTCGGTGGCTCTGCGCAGAACACACACCGCCAAGACGGACAAGCATCCTCTGTGTAGGTATTGGGTATCCGGGAGTCGGGGTAACTACTTCCAGGACGTAGAGTGGGCTTATAGGTGGCAGTTGCAAAAAAAGCGCTAAGTTCATTAGCTGGCTTGTCGAGGATTCGAAAAGGACGTTTCTTAGCGGCACTGTTGGCTTTTAGGATGGGACAGTTGATAGGTTCATCGATCGGTACCGCAGGGTTGATTACGTGAGCGGAATGAATAGGTAAAGAAGGAGCAGTAGAGGACTCTGCTTCATTTGTTGGGGCTGATTTCGAAGGGCCTGGCAAATTATCATTTACCGCTGATTGGCAGAGACAGAAGAAGGGAGATTTGAGGTAGCGTTGTTGACCAGTAACTTCACCGACAGCAAGGGAGTTTCCAGTCGCCTTTCCACGTTTTTGTGCTCCAGACCTGCAAAAGAGAAAAATACTTAGAGCATAGGGAATAAAAAAAGTTCCCAAGATGTTCTGGCTGTAAGTGATCCTAATGAGTTTAATGATGATTTTGTCCGAATTTAAAAAATGAAGTAAAAGAAATGGGATCATTGTGAACTAATAAGCTTTAAAATTACTAGCAGTTTGAGGCTTTCAAATGACAAAAAACTCTCAATACTACTGATAAGACGCAAGCTTCAGACAAAACCGAACGCTAGGGTCTCAATGTTAAATAGGGAAATAACAATACAATCATTAACTAAAATAAAGAATTTAATCTTAAAAACAATATTGTTTACTTAAAGCGCCAAAATGTTATTTAACTCGCCGGCAAACAAGTGAGTACCTCTAAAACTGCATACACGGAGACCGTTAAGACAAAGTCAGGTGGTTGTTAAATGCCACAAACAATGAAATCAATTTCTACCATAATTAAACAACTGCCGCAAAAAGTTATGCATAAAATAGGAGAGAGCGGATTCCCGGTGCCATAGGGTTCTTGGTGAAAGTGAGATGAGAGGGCACAAATCTAAAGATCTGTTTCGCCAAATAGAAGGGACTGATCAAGTTAAATGTGACGGAGGGCCCCCATAAACAACATTCTAACCTTTGCCAACCAAATACTACATCTTATTTCACTCTCCTACGCGGTGCTTCGATGTATTTCCATTATAAAGCTTTGGAAACCATTCATTCATCAAGAATCACAAGAAAGAAGTAGTGGCATAAAACGTTGAGAGCGAGAAAGATCTTAAGGACAAAGAGACAAGATAAGCATATTAATAGAAATCACTCATCTCCTTTAATAGAATAGATTAAATATGATAAAAAGTGTAAAGAACTAAGAGATTTGAGGATGAATTTAGCAAATTTGACAAATAAAGAAAGTTATGAAAATGAAATAGTTACTGCCATGCGCTCTTCCTAAAATACTACAAACTAACTCAAAACTGGTCGTGCAAACTGCAAGGGGTTCAAAATCAAAATTGAAATTGCAAAGTTAAAACATATGGAATATGGATTAATGTACAGATGCACCAAGTTCCAGGGCTTCGACACCTGACGACTCATCAGTGCTGGCTAAAGTTAGCCAAAAGTAAGACAATGAAATGACAGTTTCTACTCAGATAAGTGACAGAATGGTTCTTCTGAGTGCCAACATGGACATGGGCTAAGTCAGAGACCAAAGAAACAATGTAAACCCGGTGATCTGGACGAGAAAGCACAATGGTTAACCCGAGTTAGAGAGATAAATGAATGAACCCAGATACCCTTTTCTTCCAAAAATCAAGCGTTATCAATTACATTAAATTAACTTGACGCTTATCCAACTTACCACCTTGTCAGAAAAAACGGCTGTGAGAAGAAAATAAGATGGGGGGAAAACTTGGAAGCAAAATCAAAATAAACATAAGTCCAGCCACTAGGAAAGGCTAAATCAAGTAGTCAGAACATACCTTCTGATAGTTTCTTGAGCTTTCCTTAAAATGTTTCCCCGCCTGCCGAGAATTTCTATGTCGGAATCATTCCCATTTGACCATCGTTTCTTTTGAGATCGGCGTTTTTTAGCTGCACCCGATTTTCGTGCCGGTTTCTTTTTAGGGAGCGGGGGCGCAGCAGCGTCAGAAGGAATAGCACTAACAATCTCCACAGGATGATTTTCACTCGGAACAGTAATAGGAGACTTCGATTGAGCAGGTTGGTTACTTTGTGAAGCACTGGTGGTGAGCTCTACTGTTTTCACCTGAACCGACTTTACAGGTGGAGCGACACACGGAGCAGAAGGATTGCAGGATGGCATTTTTTCCAAGACCGGTATTCCATTTGCTCGATTAGTGGGAGGAATCATGTCACCAGCAAGGGAGGAAGCAGCACTGTCACCACTTGTAGATGAGGAGCTAGAAGAGGTAGTGGAGGTATCACTGGGGGACAGATTCCGCTGTTCAAAAGACTTTGGGGCAAGAATCGGAACACTTTGCTGATAAGCACTGAAGGCAGCATTTGAATGAAGAGGTGGGTTTGTTGAGTTAGTACTCGCTCCGTCTTCATCATTTATAATTGGCGGAGCTGGGGAAGCACGTGAAGATGCGAAAGCAGAGGAGTGAGAATTTGAAACACTGGCCGGAGAAAGAGCAGGAGGGAGGGGTGAATTCCCCCCACGACTCGATTTAACAGATACATAAAGTGGATCAAGACGATTTCCCTCATTACCTTTGGGAAATATGTTTGGTGGTTGGGCTAAAGGTGCAGAAGCAATATCGTGAAAACTTGTGGATGATTTTTGTACAAAAGGCGCATTAACAGCTTCATTCGGGTTATTTATAGCCATGTCCTTCTTATTCCGTTCAGTTTTATCTGCAGAATCAATGAGATTGTTATGTATCACAGTATGTAATCTATCCATTTATCATGAAAAATGTAATGCAGTGGGTACATTCAATTCAAAATTTTGCACACAAAAACCGACGAATAAGCCAATAGGAATCCGTCAAAGCTCACAAGCCGGCAGAATCAATTTCCCCACAAAATATTTATGAGGAAATAAAAGAATAGTTGATTTGATAAATTGGACTTAAATAGTAATTATTTCATGATTTAAATAGAATTTTAGTTAACATTTCATTTATTATTCCGATTATATTTAATTGGCAATCGTTTTATGCTCGCTAATATCTGGCTTTGATATAAACCAATGATATCGTATACCTAAGATTAAATTCTATTAAAACTGTTCAATTTTCTCGAACGGTATCAATAAAAATGGAAACAGGGACTTCATTTCACTAAATTTTGGAATGTATTTCCATGACGCAATATTGTTTTATCAGCAAAGTAGGTAATATTTCTTTCTTATATCCTCACAGCGAATTGGTTGATTAAAGATTGGTTCCCTCCTTGAAAATTTTATTATATCTATTTCAATATTTTATTTTTTTCAATCAGTCAAGTGTGGGCAATTACCGCTACGGTCTTTTAAGTTTAAGGTATGTTATAAACAATTACGTGACATTGATATTCTTTATAATTTGGGGATAATTACAACATAATATTCGAGATGTTTAATTAATTATCAGAGTTACATACTAATTATGATACTGGTGCCTACTTTAATGAAACCATCTTTTAGTCTATTGAATTAAGGAATACTAAGCAACTGTTTAGCTGGAATCAACGAAAATGAATTTTACTGGTCTAAAGCTCTAAATAAATTTCGCTGATTTTTATTTATATTATGGAGTTAAATAAAAATGCGAAAAGTGTTTAAGAAGATAGATCTCATCCACTTTTGCTTTATATGTTAATTTGTTGGCTCATTTTGCCAATTTAATAAACTATCCCTTCCTTACAGTTTACTCCACGTTTTTCTTGCTAATGTTATATTTTGTAAATTATTTTTTATTCAAAATTCAAGATAAGCTTGTTGTAATTATGGAATAAGGCAGATTGAACTTAGGGAGGAGTATTTAACGTTAATATTAGGTTGGCAACTAAGTCATTGTCGATTTCAAATAAGAAGGCAAATTCGGAATTTTTGTTTAAAAATATAACTTTATTCAATTAGATATTGGCCCTTCTTGTCGATGAACTTTTTCCATCGTTCTGGTAGAGTAAAAATTCCCCTTTCGTAAAATGTCTGGTCTTTGCTATTAAAAAACTGAATTAGGTGTGATCCGACATCATCCGCGTTGTTAAAAATTTTACCATTTAAAGAGTTTTGTATGGAACGAAACAAATGGTAATCCGAAGGCGCAAGGTCAGGGCTATATGATGGGTGTGACAAAACATCCCAACCCAGTTCCAATAATTTTTGCCGAGTAACCAAAGATGTGTGGGGGGGGGGGCCTTGCGTTACCATGATGGAAAACAACACCCTTCCGATTTGATAATGCCGGACGCTTATCTTCAATTGCATCCTTCAGTTTTTCGAGTTCTTCAACATACACATTTGAATTTATCGTTTGGTTCTGCGGCATGAGTTCAAAATACAAAATTCCTTTGTGATCCCACCAGACTGACAGCATAATCTTTTTTTGGTGAATCTCTGCTTTTGATAGTATTTGGGCTGGTTGATCTTGCTTCACCCATGATCTCTTGCGAGTAACATTGTTATAAACTATCCACTTTTCGTAGCCAGTAACTAGGTTCTTCCTCGGAAATGGATCATTCTCATTGCGTTTCAGTAGCGGCGAATCACAGATGCTAATCCGTTGCGTCAAATGAATTTCCTTTAACTGGTGAGGGATCCATAAATCAAGTTTCTTGACGTAACCAAGGGTTTTTAATTTTTTTCAATGCATGTATGCGACACATTGAGCTTCTCTGCAATATCTCGTGTTGTGCTGTGACGATTTGAATCGATAATGGCCTTGATATGGGTTTCATCCACTTCGACTGGGCGGCCAGATCGTTGTGAATTTTTCAGTGAAAAATCACCGTAACGAAATCCTTCAAACCAATTTCGACACTGCCTTTCTTCCTCACGGCTTCATCTCCATATACGGCACATAACTTCTTTTGTGCTTGCGATGCGTTCTTGCCTTTTCGGAAGTAATACAATAAAATGTGTCGGAAGTGCACGTCCTGTTCTTTCATTTTTAAATTGGGATAAAAACAAAACTAAAGAACTAAGCAAAAAAAATTTTTACTAATTAACCTAGAAGCCCATACAGTAAGAAAAAAATATAGGTTAGATGCTCTGGCCACGTTGACAAAACAAAAGAAAGTATAGTGTGAATCCGTCAACAAAAACGGCAATTACTTAGTTGCCAACCCAATATTTGACCCCAGAAAATTAAAGTATCAGTAGTGGACACCGACTACAATTATTAACAACTTATTGAACATAAATAGTTGGCAGCAATTGCTGAGAGTATTCAGAATGAACTTCGATGCGCAACTCAGCACGTTTCAGCATGTTTTTGGAAACTTTTGCGAACTCGTTTGGTGGTGTTCCCACAGTCGTATTGCAAATCTTTATTTTCATCTCTCAGTTGCGTTTTGGGCAATCTGGAGGTTGTAATGGACAATTCCATTAACATTAGATAGCCATTGAGAATAAGATATTTGACATATGCAAATGCTTCAACAAGTTTCGACATGACCTACGCTCAGTGTTTCTGTGGACATGTTGAATACTTTCCAACGAATAAATTGCATTTACACAGCTATGTTTGGCGTCATCCACCGGAAACTGTGGCTCTATATTTTGTTGTTAGGTTTAGAAAAGTTTATTTCCAAATTCGATTTCTTCGATTAAACGCTTTTTGTTCGACTGAAAATGAGAGTCTATAGAATTGCAATCACAACGCCAATAACAAGTGCCAACCCCACACTGAGAATTTCACAGTTGACACAATGGCCCCTTGACATCACGTGACTCCGTGCAAGCGCGCAACATCGTTTTCAGTGTGATACAGGACACAGGAGCCCCTTAATATTGGCCATAATGTAATGTGGGCAATGGGTGCTTTGGTACTGAAAGAGAGCACATAATCTGTTTTACATCACTTTCACTATAATTTATTCATCATATCGCGCTTTTTATCAGTAAAGGCGCTACTTTTCCACAACTTGACTCATGTTCTGGAGTGGAACAGGCCGCAAAGGAATGAAAGAACAGTGAATCCGGGCACTTTAGAAACACTTACTCATCTACCTCCGCATGACGTTCCAATAAGTAAGTTAGATATTACCACCTCATAAGAATAATTAACTGCACTTATTAACTAACAGCGCATAAATGATTTTAACACGTTGTAAGTAGTCGTTTATTTGAGTGAAGATGTGAACAGATGACATCATCTCAATCGAACCGACAACGAATGAATTTGCCTGATAATTTATGGTTAGGTGATTAGTTCTTATTAATTTCTAAGAATTGACTACTAAGGGATTGGGGTATAGAATCGAAAGATTGTTTGGATAAAGGTGATTCATGTTTTCGTTACTTAAAATGAAAACTCCCACCTTGTGACGAAGTACTATTGCAACACAAATAAGTTGAAATTGTTTTTCCATCACAATTTTACACTGTGAATCATGTCAATTCTCATTTCTGTTTTCATAAACACGACTTTTTGAAATTGCAATCAATTTTTTGGTGAAATTATTGGCAGGGAAACAAATGGAAAGTGGAGGAAACGTGAGAGATCAATTGTCTTTCTACGGCTATATTGTACCAAGTTGGCGGAAATTCCCTCCCACAATTCGTGCTAGAAAAACAATCCAACCACCAGATTTCATTATGCCCATGTGATCAAAAAGTGATCAGATAAAGTCCGAAT